AAAAAAAATCTTAAAAAAAAAATAATTAAAAGCGGTTTACTGTGGGGCGCCTCAGTGGTGCAGTCCATTGAACATCCCACTCTGGGTCGCGATCTCGGATCTCAGGGTCGTGAGATCCAGCCCCCAGGTCCTGAGATTCTCTCTACCTCTGCCTCTCCCCCACCTCTCTAAAATAAACAAAAATAAGTAAAAATAAAAATAGTTTATTGCTAAAAAAAAAAAAAAAGGATAACCGTCATCTGAACCTTCAGCAAGTTGTAATCGCTGATCACAGATCGCCATAACAAATAATCAAATAGTTTGAAATATTAGGAGAATGACCAAAAAATGACACAAAGTGAGCAAATGCTGTTGGAAAAATGGCACCAAGAGACTTGCTTGATGCAGGGCTGGCACAAATCTTCAATCTGTAAGAAACCTCAGTATCTGCAGAGCACGGTAAGATGAGGTACACCTGCAGTTATGGGCCAGATCTGTGGCATCACCCAGCTCCCCGGGGCCCAGCCTTCAGCTGCACATCTACGGGTCCAAATCTAGAAATGCCTCGGGAGCTCAGAAAAGCCCCGAGCCTGTAATCCCATGATGGAGGCAAACAGCTGAGAAGGACCGTTCCAAGGGACAAAGACTGCTGACTGCTCCTGCGGGTGACCCAGAAAAAGAAGGCAATGGGGAAATCAGTACCATCAGGGAGTGTGAGGAGGCCACGGCATCGGGCCAAGCAAGGACCCCCCTCTGGTTGCCAACACCTCACAAGACTCTACCAAGCAAACCCAGGCTCCTTGGAGAACCATTCTACCTGCGGGATGAGCTGGCCAAGAAGTGAGAGGGCAGCGGGCCCCTCCACAGGAGCAGATGGACTGTGGCTCCCACAGCTCCCCTAACATGGGCTGTCTCGCCAACCCCAACAACCCCTTCCCCTCCCCATGTGGCTGGCCCAAAGGACATAAGGGGAAAGGAGAGGGTGAAGGACAGGAAACAAACACTGGCAAGTGTTTTTGTGTCTCAGGAGCTGTGCCTAGCTACTGGCACAGGATGACAAACTTTGTGTCCCCTCCCCAAGCCTGGACAAGAGCCTGAGGAGATGGGTGGCAGTAATCACCTTTATTTTAAATTAGAAAAGCAGGCTCCAAGTCCTCCCTCCTAGGTCAGTGCCCTTCTGGCTGCCTGACTTTCAGCTTGACTCTAGCCAGAGAGGGAGAGCCAAGTTCCTGTTCCAGACAAGGCCTGTCCCCCTCAGAAGGCCAGAGCCTGAGGTGGGCTAGAGAGCCTCCTCACACCCCTGTAAATGCTGGCTGCACGGGATGCAGGAAATGGGGGAGTTGCCATTTCCCCCAGCTCTGAGGCTGCCCATCTGTTTCCTGGGATAGGACGCCCTGCCCCCACCCACCCCCAGTCCGGAAATTCACTTGCTCTGGGTCTATGGGAAAAGGGAACTGCATGGCTCCCTCCCTCCCAAGGGGGCAGAGGCTGTCATTGCTGCAACAAGCCCTCCCAGGCCTCCAGGTCTCCCGCTCTCACGGGTCTAGGGAGCCAGCTCCTACCAACAGTTCTGGGCCTGCGGGGGAGAGGAACCAGGCCACAGAGGGTGCTGCCCAGCAGCACGAGACTCACCTCCTTCCCCCCTTCTGGCCTGGTGGCATCCCTGGCTGCCCACTTCATTGCTTGTGGCAGTATGAGGGGTAGGGCGAAAGGCTGACTTTCTCACTATAAGTTTGGGGAAAGTAAGAGGAGGGGGAAAAAAGATTGCTCACCCCTGCCTTCAGCCCTGACATGGTCATCAGCAAGGGAGCACTGCCCCCTGCTGGACACACTGGTACAAGCACCTGGGCAACCACATGAGGTGGCACAGATAACAAGGAAAAGCGCAGCCTGAGCCCAGCAGTGCACTCCACAAAAGTAATGTGCAACAGCATGAGCAATGTCAAAGCCAACCTAAGATTCCCCACACCCTGTTCAAGATTCTCTCCTAGACCAAACTCTACTCAGGCTCCTCTGCACCATTTTTTTGATAAGGCTCATCCTGGGGCCTGATCCTTAAGAGCAAGATTCCTGTTAAGCAGGTTTGGCCAGAATCCCCGACTCTCGCTATCTGATCAGCCTGGGTATCTCATGGGGCTCCTCAACCCTCAACAACCCCCACGTGATGACGGGTCACCTTGGCCTGCCTGCACCAAGAATCCTGTCAGGACAGTTAGCCAGAACCCTCCTTACTCCTGATACTTCCTCTTAGTAACTTTCCATCCACTGCCCTCCACCTGCTCCTTGCCTATAAACCCCCACTTTTCCCTGTTGTATTTGGAATCAAGCCCAGTTCTCTGCTGAGGTCTCTTTCCCTTATTGTGATAGTTTTTCTGAATAAACCCTGTTTTTACCACCTTACAGCCCATCTCAGGTTTTTCTTTAATACATCAAATGAGGGTGACTGGGTGGCTTGGTGGATTAAGCCTCTGCCGTTGGCTCAGGTCATGATCTCAGCATCGTGGGAGCTCTGGGATCGAGCCCTAATTCGGCCTCTCTACTCAGCAGGGAGTCTGCTTCTCCTTCTCACTCTCCCTCTGAGCTCTCTCTCACACAAATACATAAAATCTTAAAAAAAAAAAAATCAAATGAGTTGGGTTTTTTTTTAAGTATTTTATTTATTTAAGTAAATTCTATGTGCAATGGGGGGCTCGAACTCACAACCTGGAGCTTAAGAGTCGCCTGCTCTACCAAGACAGGCAGGTGCCCCTCATCAAATGAGTTTTAAAACGAAGGGAACAATGCCACATAGGCCGAAGCAAGCCAGGAAGGTTTTCCTGTAAAGTGTTTGTGCAGAATTTAGAGAGGCAGAGGAATAGGACAACAGCACAGCCTGGCAGGGGCCATGCCAAAGCAAGGGCCATTAGAGTGGGGTGTAGGCAATGGGAGTTCAACAGACCTTGGAGACCAGACAATGAAATGAGGTCAGTACCTGCTGGCTTTCACATTGTTTAAAGCCTTGAACTTTTGGGGCGCCTGGGTGGCTCAGTGGGTTAAAGCCTCTGCCTTCAGATCAGTTCATAGTCTCAGGGTCCTGGGATCGAGCCCTGCATCGGGCTCTCTGCTCAGCAGGGAGCCTGCTTCCCTTCCTCTCTCTCTGCCTGCCTCTCTGCCTACTTGTGATCTCTGTCTGTCAAATAAATAAATAAAATCTTAAAAAAAAAAAAAAAAAGGCTTGAACTTTTCCCGAAGAAAAATCTGCCCCAGGACCTCAATATATAAAAATATATATAAGGGCGCCTGGGTGGCTCAGTGGGTTGGGCCTCTGCCTTCAGCTCAGGTCAGGATCCCAGTGTCCTGGATCAAGACCTGCATGGGGCTCTCTGCTCAGCGGGGAGCCTGCTTCCTCCCCCTCTCTCTCTGCCTGCCTCTCTGCCTACTCATGATCTCTGTCAAATAAATAAAATCTTTAAAATATATATATATATATATATATATATATATATATATATATAAAACTGATCAAAATGGAGGTTTCCCTTACCCCCAATACACTGTGGTGACCCCTAGCATCTCTGAACACCTGAAGCAGTCTGAAACCAGAGCTGCAGGCAACAGGGTACCCCTGACATTCCAGTGCATCTAGGCAGACAGGACAGCCATGGTATCTAACAAGGAGGGAGAACAGAGCTACAGTGTTCAAGATGAAGTGGGGGTGGGGCACCCAAGGCAGCAAGGGGACACTGCAAATGTGTTCCATGTCTCCAGCCAGCCTCTTCCCACACCAGCATCTCAGGGAACCAGGGTCAGCATATGGGAACCCAAACCCTCCATTCAGCACAGTGTTCCTTTCCAAGTCTCCCCTCACACTGTCCACATCCTCTCATCTAGCTCCCAGTTATACTGGACTGTCTCCTGCTGCCTCCCCTACTACACACTAATGCACATGGAGGGCTTCCAAAAACACCATCATTAACAAAAAAAAAACCCATGCACTGCATAAAAATGGCCTGGCCCCAGGAGCAGAAGCTCTCCACCATCAGACTGCCATACTGGCTAAGAAGCATACTCACGCCAGGAATGTCCAAAAGCCTAGACACCAGAAGAGGCAATTTCAGGGCTGCAACGCTCCCAGTGACACCCACGAGAACATGGGACTGCTTCTTCACCAAGGGTGCAGCAGCTGGACACGAGGCACTGGATTCCATGTGGGGTCTAACGGCTTCGAATCCCAGGAGCCTGCCAGGACGGGCCTCCACAAGGCTCTGTCAGGACTTAAAATCTAAAAGCAGAGTAAGGGGCACCCACTTCACTCATACGTTCAACCAAACTGTCTTGAGGACCCTGGGCCAGATGCTGGGGTTACTGAGGGGTGAGCAGCCCCAGTGGCTGGGAGCACACGATTTGATGAGGTCAGGTACCGTGTAATTCAGCCCAGTGTTGTGAGGAAGGTCTTTACTGGGGGCTGTGGCTGCCCAGGATTAACCATCTGAGGAAGTCAGAGACGCGAACAAGGACAGCTTGGGTCCTGAAGGACCAGTACGTTTCCCAGAGAAAGAAGGAAAGAACCATGCAAGAAGGAAAAATCTCACAAAGGTGAAGAGGCCTAAAGAGGGTGGCAAGTTTGGGGAACAAGGAACGGCTTAGGAGTGAGGCTAAAGTTTGATGGGAGGTAGGGGGTGGCAGGAGGTAAGGCTGCAATCAGGTCAAGGGCAGTGTGAAAGGTGGTGAGGGCCAAGGTGAGTTTTCATTTTAGAAAGGTAGTGCTGGTGCCAAGTGTGGAGGGGGCCCTAAGGTGGAGACAGGAGGATGCTGGACTGACTGAAGGGAGTAGCACAATGGCATGGGTTCAGGGAGCCTGAGAGGTGGGAAACCCGAAGCAACGGGAAGACTCAGATGATCCGGGGAGTGGAGACATTTGCCTCTTTGTCCCTGTCCCTGGAGATCAAACTGGACACCCCTCTACAAACCTAAGCCCAGGACGAAACAAGCATGAAGGGGATGTTGGCCACTCCCGTGGGACCAGCTGCTTGGTTTTTTTCCCTCTGGCCCTCAGATGTTGCTAGGAGTGAATGCCCCCGATAACACAGCTGATGGACACACCAAAACCTACACTCTGCAAGCTGGGCCAGCAAAACGTGCCCCCTCCATCAGCAACAATCACTGAGGGCCAATGACATCTAGCACTGGGCAAAGGAATTGTTCAAGACACACCACTGCCGGGACGCCTGGGTGGCTCAGTTGGTTAAGCGGCTGCCTTCGGCTCAGGTCATGATCCCAGAGTCCTGGGATCGAATCCCACATCGGGCTCCTTGCTCAGCAGGGAGTCTGCTTCTCGCTCTGCCTCTGCCTGCCACTCTATCTGCCTGTGCTCACTCTCACGCTCGCGTTCTCTCTCTCTCTCTCTGACAAAAAAATAAATAAAATCTTTAAAAAAAAAAAAAAAAAAGACACACCACTGCCTTTGGGGAATCTGTAGATGAGTTGAGAAGACAGGAGTCACACCCGAAATCATTTGAGATAGGCTTTTCTCTGAGATGCACCTGCCTGGTAATAATTAGTGATTCCATTTTTTCCGTGTTTCCTTGCCTCTCCCTCTCCACTTCCCCACCACCACCACTGCCACCAGCAAGCTCCCTGAATGTGTGACCAGGTCTAATCATCAACAGCCAGGCACCTGGTAGGTCCTGAACCACTGCTGGAGGAATAATGAACTGTACCTTCTGAAGCAGGGTGGGCGTGGGGCACAGGACACTGGCACAGAAGCCCAGCTGGTACATCAGGAGCCCTGGACCCCATCCATCGTTGTGCTCCTGAGCTGGTGTGTGACCTTGGCCCACGGTACTTCCCTCCCTGCACCTGTCTCTTCATCTGAAAAATACAGAGGTAAGACCAGGTGATCTCTGAAGCTCCTTTCAGTAGAAACTTCTGAGTCAATGTATGAAAGTCAATGTATGTAAGGGCTCTCTGTACAAGAGTCCTGCGAGATGACTCAAAATGGACAGAATCAGCAGTAGGAGGGGAAACCAAGGCAAACATCAAGGAGGAAGTTATCTCAATCACCCAATGGCTACCTCCGAGGCTGCACACCCACAGGGGCTTCCTCTTCACTCCAGAGGCTCCTTGGTTCCTGAGGGCCTCTTCGCCCAGTATCTGCCTTCAAGCCTCAGGCACACACCTACATGAGCCCTTGCCCACAAAGATCTCCCAGAGGCCCAGACCCAGGGATTAATCAGCAGGAGTTAAGCACAGACCAGTTCCCTAGAGCAAGACTCCCCCAAAGTTCCATTTGCTAGCTCTGTTTCAGTATCTGCTCTAAATCAGGGCCTCAGCCAGGGCCTTGCTTGCCCAAACCAGAAACAAGTCTACTCCAGAGCTTGGGGAGCCTGTTTCAGCACATGGCAAGGTCTAGAGGGCCTATCAGCCAGCGCCTTCCCAGATCAGCATACTGATGAGCACCCTCCGTAGGCCATGGAGGCATTCTTGACTCTCTGGGGAAACCTACCTGCTAAAGCTCAAACCCCAACCCCGTCCCACCCCAGCTCACTGGTGCCAGGACAGGGAGACTCCTGCCAAACCAGAGGCTGAACTTCATCTCTGCAGCCCACAAACCTCCTCTACATCAAGCTGGGATCATTCCTAAGAAACAGGTTACTGAAAGCCATCAGTTAAGTCGAGGGAACAGGATGCCTGGGTGGCTCAGTTTGTTCAGTGGCCAATTCTTGATTTCAGCTCAGGGCATGACCTCAGGGTCCTGGGATTGAGCCCTGAGTAGGGGCTCCACACTCAGCAGGGCGTCTGCTTGAGGATTCTCTCTTCCTCTCCCTCTGCTCCTCCCTGTTTATACTCTAATAAATACATCTTAAAAAAAAAAATTCTGGCATGAAGCCATGTTGGGGATTTCAATTACTTCCCCACACACTGGGTGGTATAGCCCAAGATTTACCACTTAGCCTGCTGAGCAAGACTTGCTAAGGACCAATAAGGACCAAAGCCTACCTACCTTCAGAGAAAAGTGTGTGTGGGTTGGGTGTTGGGAGTAGGGAAGAAGTACTTGAGTAACAGAAAGTGGATAATTTAACCAACATTTGAAAGCAAGGTCAAATTGGTTCAACCTAACAGTCTTGTGAAGTGTGATAGCTAGCAGTCTTTATGTTCATTCTCAAAAAAGATCAAATCCCAAACTAGTAAGTCTGTTACTCTAGCCAGTTCCTGTTAGAACCACCTACTTGCACAGCCAAGGTAGCTGTAGACAGTGCCTGATTTTTCTGGGCTTTGCTAGACTCCTAAGAACTCTTGAGCAGAAAGAGTTATCACAGAGAGGTTATAAGGGCTGAAGGCTCTGATTACTAAGCCTCAAGCTCCCAGGACATCAATCCTGTTGGTAAGCCACAACCAGAAAAATGGCAGGTTCTTTATCCCTTAGAAAGACAGGACCAGCCAGTGGTACCTGGGTGGCTCAGAAGGTTAAGTGTGGGACTCTTGGTTTCAGCTCAGGTCACGATCCCAGGGTCATGAGATCGAGCCCCACGTCGAGCCCTGCATCAGGCTACACGCAGAGCGTGAAGTCTCTAAGATTCTCTCTCTGCCCCTCCCCCTGCTGCTCATGCACTGTCTTGCTCTCTTACTCAAAAAAAAAAAAAAAAGGCAGAGCCAGAGCTTGCTTATGGCAAGCTTGTGATGTGTAAGTCTCCTCTGCTGACTTTAATTAGGGCAGGCAGAGTTAAGTAAAGGTTTCAAGAATACCTGCCAGTCACAATAGGGGAATATGTGGAGCCTCACAGAACTAGGGCTAAAAAACAGCCAGACAGTACAAACACTGCCCAACACAAGAACAGTGAGAGGCTGGGGCCTAGAACAAAGCAGAACTAAACATGGAAGACTGGGGGAACAGGGATCCAGGATCCATTAAGAGATTATAATCTTCAACTTAATGTCAAAGCCCCTCACTCCCGGCCCCAGGCTTTTGCTCTGGCCCTATCTCCCAACAGTCAATGCACTCTACTCTGCCCCCCTAATAATGAGCAACTTCTAGTTCCCCAAAATGTCACCCTGCTCCCCAATCCAAAGATATTAAAAGGCCATAGGGCACTTTAAATCCCTGTCCCCAAGGTAAGGCAACGAACTCAGGAGAGAACTCAGGAGAGCTCAAGCCGTTGGAATTCTGCTAAAACTGCTCTTCTCTGTCACTAGAGGCAGCCATCTGCAGCTTCTGTAATCCCATTTAGGCACTCCTCAAGTCCACATGTTGAGGATATATACATATACTATAGGGTATATGATATATTTTTATTATATATATTGTATATATTATATATTTCTGTATCACATTAATATACGTTGTATAACATATTATATAGTAATATATTGTTATTTTGCTATATATCGTATATTAACTAAGTATCATAGTCACACACATAGCCTACTAGCAAGCTAGTTACAGCCACTGCCAGAGATGTGGGGGAAAAACCCTGCTCCCAAGACATTCACCAGCTCCCCAACTATAGCAATCTCTCCTGCTTATCATCCAGTACAGGCCTTTAAAGGACTGTAGGAAGTTTTTCTTTGGCAAAATTTAGCCTCATTCTAATTTTAAAAACCATCAGCACTTTTAGGCGGATCTAGGGGATATAATTCCAACATACCAAGGCTTTCCTTTTTCTATTTTACCAATTTTAAAAATAAGGGGAACTGATGGGGCCACCTTTTAAACTAGTTTAAACGGCACTGAACAGTCGCAGTGCAGCACAAAGCAGGGGTGGGAACACAGGTACAAATTCCCCCACTCCAAACTCGAGCCAGGAAGAGGTCCCAAATGCGCCGGCAGGCAGGTAAGTACAGTCCCAAAGGCTCGACACTACCCACACAGACAAAGCCGTCAACCCACAGTGGCGAGCTGAGCTTCCCGGGCAGAGGTAGGAAACTGAGGTCATACACCCCCGCGGACCCACAGCCTTCACACACATACACGCGAGCGCGCGGGCCAAAGGAAGGTCACGCACAAAAAGTCGCGGACCGACAGTCAGCGAAGTTCCCAGCGTCTCCCCACCGCCGGGCGGAAAGGACACAGCCTCCGAACGCCCTTAGATTCCTCACCCACGCCTGACGCGTCTCGGGCGGCCCCAAACATCGCGATATCTCAGCCGCCCTTCCCGTTTCCGCCTACCACGTAGTTTCGCGAGGGCGACCGACTGCCTACGTGTCGCGCAGCCTTCTGGGAGCTGTAGTCTATTTCTCTGTCTCTGGTCGTTTCAGTCCAGTCGAGAGAATCCTGCCGCGAACATCCGGTTACTGTTCCTAGCAGTGCTGGTGCCCTCTTCGGGGTCTGGCCTAATTGCCTGACCTCCTCACCCCACACCCTCATCTCACACAGACACACTGCTCATCATCGGGGCACTTTATACTGAACATTTGCGGAACCTCTCCTGTTTTAAATGCACAGAATACGGAGCTAAATCAGTGTCCCTGCTGTTCAGACAAGCAGGGGGACAGGAAATTACAGAATAAGATCCTCCATGAACAATCAGAAGGACCAAACAACTAGAGGCAGGGAAGCCCTCTCAGAGGAGTCAATCAAGGTGAATCTTGAAGTATGGCCATAAGCTTAGCTGAAGTGTCTCCAAATGGAGGGCACAGCGTTGGCAAAGGAAAAGCGGCAGGAGAAAGCATACTGGGTACACCTCACTGCCTTCTTCATTATCCAGCATCAAGACCCCCACAAGCTCTGTGTGCTGAGGCTGCTCAATCCGCTGCCATTCTCCATCAGTGAGAGGTGGGGGGCAGGGGGGCCCTCTGTGTTCTACCCTTGCCCTTGTCTGCATCTGGACCAAACCACCTCTTCCCTATGAATCCAGCCTTCTACTTCCTCCTCAGGCAATTCAGAACTCCTTCCAACAGCCAGGAGGCCTTTGTGACGATTTCAAGGCCTACTCAAGGCTGCCTCAGAAAGAATCACACAGAAGTGTGTGACTTTTGGCCCCCCGGGAATGACAGGCCACAGACCCATCTGACCCACCCTACCTCCATGCCCCACAGCCCACAGTGAGGCTCCACACAGGCCCACATGAAGACACATGACACAGCAGGACACACAGGGCCAAATGTTCCCCTTTATTATGGTTCACTCAATTACCATAGACAGACAGCTCAGGCAGGTCAACTGCCAGGTGGACAATGGTCTGTGTCTCCCAGAAACAAGGAGGAGCAGTAGGCACCAGCAAAATGCAAAAGCAGGTCACTGGCTGGCCAGACCTGAGGATTCCCAGAAGTGACCTGGGCCTTCCTCCATCACACCCCCCAAGACAGACCATCCAGCGGAGATGAATTCATGCCCAGCCCCCAATCCTCATACTGGTTCCCTCCCTAGGAAAGTGCATAGTTGCCTAGAGATGCAGCATCCCAGGGCCTGGACAAGCTGGGTCACACACAGGTAGCAGGCCTTCCCAAGAGCAGAGCCAGGGCATGGCCATATAGGTCTAGGCCAGGAAAGAAGAGAGGCAAGGAGGACAGGAAACTGACTGCAGGTGGCATCCAACAGGCATGAGCGCTACCACACAGGCCTCCTGGAGCTACCAGATACACTAAGAGAAAGGGAGCCAGAGGTCTAGGGTAGGGGAAAGGAAAAGGGAAGAAAACCTAGACCTAGAGTCTCTTTTTAGGTATAGAGGCTGGCACAACTGCTTTCTGGAGAGAAAATGGTAGAGCAGAGAGT